CGTGTGTGTGTGTGTATGTGTGTGTGTGTTGTGTGTGTGTGTGTGTGTGTGATGACCCGAACTACGCCACAGAATTGGCTTTGGTCCGCCTGTGATCTGATATACTGCTTAACATCTACCCTCGGATTTTTATTTGTAAAGTTTTGTTCTCGCACCAGTGATAAAGATGTTAAAAGAATATTCACAGTATTCTTAAAAAGTGAAGACGCGTAGAAATTCTTGTAAAATTCTTTCGAATACGTTACTTTCTGGGGTGGGTTTTTTCAAATGACACACGTATTTATTACACACAAACCAGTGATTCTTGTTAGAAAAAAAATCCCTGGAAATATTTTTTGGGTGGTTATAGTAACCAACTTGGTTCAGTAGGGATAAGCGGCGCTGTTTGAAAGAATTACGCTCACGTTAGATTCTGAGAAAATTCCATAGCTTTGTACACCTAAACCACTCCCCGTCCTGGCCACCGCTCATCGCTCCCAGTAAAAAAATACACCCCAAAAACATCACTGTGATTGAAGCGTGCACATCACTGGCCACAGCATTGCACCCAACTGATGGGCAAAACGCCAGCCTCTTTGTAGTCGAGTGCTCCCCATACGTTTCTCCCTTTACCCTTCGTTTGGTTCAAATTGAGTCTTTCATTTTCATAGTAGAGGTTTCACGGTGCTCGCAACTGAGTCTTTACAGTGCACTGCATAGTGAACCGGAAATACACCAGAGTGCATGTTGTAGCGTATCATAATACAAATAGACATTTTCCTCCTAATTTACTGTTTTCCTAAACCGCATTGTTTGATCATCGTTTCAGGTGTCCGATCCTTGCTGGATCCCAAGTTAGACAACCCACCACCTCTCCTACCATTAGCCCAACCCCGAGAGAAGGACGCGAGCAGCGGAGCGCCAAGTAGTAGAGAAGACCAAGAGAAACCCCGGGAAGCCAAAGCAGGTAAAGCCGGAGACGACGGGGCGATTAAAGTTAAAGGAATCCAAAAAGATAAAGAACACGGAAGCAAAGATAAAGAGGTACGTTTCGAGCTGTCCTCACCAGAAGAAGAAAAAGTCGAGGTTTCGAATCCTGTGAGGGAGGAGAAAGAAAAAGAGAAAGAGAAGGAGAAAGAGAAGGAGAAGGAGAAAGAAAAAGAGAAGGAGCAAGAGAAGGATCGGAACGACTCCGAGCCACGGCAGGAACAAGTCGAGCGAGAAGAAAATATGGCCGACTCAAAAGAAAAATCTGGGACGAGTCCAGATTCAGCGGGCGCCTCCAAAGACAGCGGAAGTGGCGCCAAGAGCGTTCTGGCTGACTACGCCGACGGGAAGTCAAAGGTCAACATATCCGGGAATGAGTCGAGAGTCGAGCTGATGGAGAAAGTTCTGGACATGGATGATGAAATTAGTGAGTACTACACCCCCTGTTGCCTGATGTTTGTTTTTTTAAATCTTGTTTTATTGTTGTTATTATATCGTTGTTGTTTTTAAATTATTTTGTTTGTTTATATGTTTGATTGTTTGTTTGGCTGGTTGGTTGTCAGTTTGATTGATTGATTGATTGTTTGTTTGTTTGTTTGTCCTTCTGTTTGTTTGTTTGTTTTAGTTGTTTTTACACCCCCATCGACATTATTTTGATCATTTAGGAGGCGGGCATCCAACCCATGCCTGTCAGGGCCAAACTTGTGTGAGAGTGAGGGATACCACGTTCCAGTAGGAACACCGAGAAACTTGATTTTAAAAAATATCTCCCCACTTCGGAATCAAACTTGGGTCTTCTATGTGCGAGAGAAAAGCGCCTGACCGCTATACAACAGGCACTGGTGTTGTCTGGTGTGACGTTTTCTATGCGTGATGTGGGTGGGTTTGAGGAGGGACGGGGAGAGGGAGAGTATGAAAAGAGGAGAGAGAGAGAGAGAGAGA